CAACGCAGCCCTGATTCTTATATGCAACAGCCCATGCACCCAAGTTGCAGTGTGATCGCGGCGCCCGTGCAAGTCCGAGGGTACAGTGGTCGCAGATGTGGGCGGAGTGAGTGTCTTGTAGCAGGGCAATGGTCGCGACACGAAAGGTGAGCTCCAAGGGCTGCAGGGCTCTCGGCGCGGAAAATCACTCGCTAAGGCCCGAGCAGCGACCCAACTCCCACCTGCCAGCTTGCGCACCCCCACACACCCATGTCGTGATACCCATTCACCCTGCGCCATCATCTCTCGGCTCCCGCCGCCGGTGCCTTGGTCCTTCCACACTCCCCGAGCTCGACCCTTCACCCTGCGCTTCCAAGACATGATTTAGCCTCTTGACGTCCATCGCACTCTTTGACACGCGCCCAAGTTCCCCATCCGGCACCATGTCTCTCAATCTAGAGAAACAACTCGTCTTCGTACGTCATTCTTCAACAGATGTCTGTACTTGGCTGACTGGAATCTAGTACGGAGCATACCACCATAATAAAGTAGGCTCTGCCGTCAGAGAGCGTCTTCACATGTCAGCTAACATGCCATGTGTCAGGTCAACGTCGGAATACATCTGCTCTGTGTACCTCCGATCCTGTTGACGTCTTTCCTACTGGTGAGGCATCCGAATGCTCTCATCGTGGCACATCTAACACAGCAACAGCTCACCAACACGCCTGCCGTCCCTATACCGTCATGGCTCTCGGTACCTAATCTCCCGCTCAACGTCGGCACCGCCGGAGCCGTTCTGTACTCGACCTTGTACATCCTCATGGAACCTGTCGCAGGTGCCATGATTGCTCCGATCCTTATCGGCAGCACCGCGTACGCGAACCATCTCACGTCCACGTATGGTGCGACTGCCAACTCGTGGGCCGGCGCAATCAACATCGCATGCTGGATCGCCCAGTTCGTCGGACACGGAAAGTTCGAAGGAAGAGCACCAGCGCTTCTTGACAACCTTGTGCAGGCCATCTTCCTGGCTCCGTTCTTCGTCTGGTTCGAGATACTCTTCATGCTCGGCTACCGCCCCGAACTCAAGCGCCGGATAGACCAGGCTGTTGAGTTGGAGATTCAGAAGTTCAGGAAGAGCAAGGAGAAGGGTCAAAATGGCTCCGCGAAATGAGACGCAACTTGACAACGGATGTACAGCGCATGAGCAGACAAGGACCCAGTTATTGGCACTTGCAGGTTAATCGAAGCAGTGATTGGAGGACAAGAAGACAGTGCAAATAGTGTATGAATACTGCAGGAGAAGGAGCATTGCGCAGGAGCAAGGTGTACGCGGCGTCTTGAGGTATACGTTGTCTTTGGTAGTCAAGTTTGCATAAGTGGCTGCGAGTTTTTAAAGATTCACATAACATAGTAGGATACCAATTTAGAATGTTGTTATTTTACATTTGGAGCGTATGATGTTGATTATATCGACCATGATTTCCTGAGTAACCCGTGCTTGGGGAATACTCGGCAGTTGGGTGTACTGATGCATTGGAAGGGCCATTGAGACAGAGACGCCACCCGTACAATGTATGCTTCTAGTCGATGCTAATTATCTGATCGTGACAGTATCAAGCTGCAAAGAAGGCTACACTACCAGCTGCACCGTACACCGAGACGTAGTCCGAAGGTATCCACAAACATCTACTTTATCTTTATCAAAGTGTGGGGTACTAACTATGTACACGAGGTTCGTGTATCGGATCGGAGTGTCGTGCGAAGGGTGCAACGCGTTATATCATACAGCTGAATGCTCCGTTTGATTTTCTAGTATTTCATTCAAAATCGCCAGTCAAATCATGACTTGTCGGGTGCCAACGTGGTGTTGCAGTGAGAGAGCTCGGTTGAGATGCGGCTTTTTTAGGATTAGGGTAGACGCCAAGGTCCGCGCTTTCCTCCCGAACCGCAGGACTTTCTTCCTCACAGCAGAGCTCCCCATCCTGCACTCCATCACCATCTCCCCTCTTCCATACCTGCATCAATCTCAATTGGTTGCAGAGCCTCCGAATTAGACTCTTGAGCAGCTGCAGCCATGTTCTCAAGGGCCATCCGCCAGTCGAGCCGCCGGGTCGCTGCAATCTCTGCCACGAGCAGGATTGCGTCGGTAAGTCCATCGCAACCGCCTGCAATTGCGCCTGCCGCCCGTCCAGCCATCGCCAGCAGCCTCCAGAACCGAGATCCGATGCCATTGGCGCCGCAATGGAGCTTCGTTGATGGAACTGCCCGGGCTGCGCGGCGGCGGGACCAGCTCCCCTCTACCCAAGTGCACCACTGACGCCTTTTGCCCGCCCACAGACCCGCGCTCCCGCGTTCACCAACGCCATCCGATCCTACGCCGCCGATGCGAAGGCCACCCCCACCGAGGTTTCCTCCATCCTGGAGCAGAGGATCCGCGGTGTCCAGGAGGAGAACAGCCTCTCCGAGACTGGACGTGTCCTGTCCGTCGGTGACGGTATCGCCCGTGTCCACGGCATGAACAACGTCCAGGCTGAGGAGCTTGTCGAGTACGCCACCTGCACATTACGACAATTTGCCATGGAAGCTAACGGGGTGACAGGTTCGCCTCCGGTGTCAAGGGCATGTGCATGAACTTGGAAGCCGGTCAGGTCGGTGTTGTGCTCTTCGGTTCTGACCGTTTGGTCAAGGAGGGCGAGACCGTCAAGCGTACCGGAGAGATTGTCGACGTTCCCGTCGGCGAGGCTCTTCTCGGACGTGTCGTTGACGCTCTCGGTAACCCCATCGACGGAAAGGGTCCCCTCAAGACCACTGAGCGCCGCCGTGCTCAGCTCAAGGCCCCCGGTATTCTGCCCCGCCAGTCCGTCAAGGAGCCCGTCCAGACTGGTCTCAAGTCCGTCGACGCCATGGTTCCCATTGGACGTGGTCAGCGTGAGTTGATCATTGGTGACCGTCAAACCGGAAAGACCGCCGTTGCCCTCGACGCCATGCTTAACCAGTACGCAAATATTCTTCCGCCTGCAAGCAACACAAGCTGACATGAAGATTAGACAGCGATGGAACAAGGGTACCGACGAGAAGAAGAAGCTCTACTGTATCTACGTTGCCGTCGGTCAGAAGCGATCCACCGTTGCCCAGCTCGTCAAGACCCTCGAGGAGAACGACGCCATGAAGTACACCATCATCGTTGCCGCCACCGCCTCTGAGGCCGCTCCTCTGCAGTAAGTTCTATCTGTACGAGCTCACGTCATACAAGAAAAACCCGAACAGGTCTGGAGCCTACATCGACGCCAGGCCACACATCTTGTGTGCTTTCATGTTGATGTAGGCTGCAGGCCTGTTCAGTTTTTTTTTCTTGCTTGAAGTGAGCTGATATGAGACATTGACTGACACAACCTCAGGTACATCGCGCCATTCGCTGGATGCTCCATGGGTGAATGGTTCCGTGACAACGGCAAGCACGCCTTGATCATCTACGATGACTTGACCAAGCAGGCCGTTGCCTACCGTCAAATGTCTCTGCTTCTCCGTCGTCCTCCTGGTTTGTTATCCCTGTGCGAACTGCATATGTGACATCCACTGACAGCGTTTAGGTCGTGAGGCTTACCCCGGTGACGTTTTCTACCTCCACTCTCGTCTCCTTGAGCGTGCCGCCAAGATGAACGACAAGCTTGGTGGTGGTTCGCTCACTGCTCTGCCCGTCATTGAGACCCAGGGTGGTGATGTGTCCGCTTACATTCCCACCAACGTCATTTCCATCACTGATGGTCAGATCTTCTTGGAGGCCGAGCTCTTCTACAAGGGTATCCGTCCCGCCATTAACGTCGGTCTCTCTGTCTCCCGTGTCGGTTCCGCTGCCCAGGTCAAGGCCATGAAGCAGGTCGCCGGTTCCCTCAAGCTCTTCTTGGCCCAGTACCGTGAGGTTGCTGCTTTCGCCCAATTCGGTTCCGATCTCGACGCTGCGACGAAGCAGACACTTTCTCGCGGTGAGCGTCTCACCGAGCTCCTCAAGCAGAAGCAGTACTCCCCCATGGCCGTCAACGAGATGGTTCCTTTGATCTACGCTGGTATCAACGGTCTCCTCGACTCCGTACCCGTCAGCAAGATTCTTCAGTGGGAGGCTGACTTCCTTGCCCACCTCCGATCAAACGAGCAGGACATGCTCAACCAGATCGACCGGGAAGGTGCGCTCAGCAAGGACCTCGAGTCCAAGCTCAGGGAGGTTGCACAGAGCTTCACCAAGAGCTTCGCGGCATAAACGAGTTGAAGGCTGGAAGAGTGGGTACTGTCTATTCCAATGTTCTGAGGGGCCAAAAAAGTGCTGATTGGTCTTTGAGAATAGATGTATAATAGAAGATGCGTCCTCGCCATCAGCTGTGTCTCAATATGGAAGATTTGTTCGTTTTTCTGCATTGACATCAGCCTGGCAACGCACGCCTACCTTGGTCGACGAATACCTCTTGTGATTCCCTGTGCTCCTGTTAGCGGTACATATACGGCTCTTTTTCAGCTCATGGAAGTGGGGTGGTGGAGGCTCTGTATATGACAAATGAACGTTTCCTCTGTTATACTTGTTGTTCCTGACGCATATGACGATGATGGTGATACTAATACTAAACTACGCAGGAATTCCGTCATGTCTGCTGGAGCTAGCTGTCGTCTTGGAGCATACGGTGATCGTTTTGGGTAGCGTACAAACAGTTTGGAGGTGCCCTGGATACGTACATTGCTTCATACCTCACACCTCTGTCCATGGGGGAAATGCTGAATACCTCTCGGGACCAGTATTTGAAAAACATTTGAAAACGCAAGCTTGTCTGTAGCAGGCAAATGTCGTGTATAATTTTGAAATATGAGATGGCATTGGGAGCCTATTCTCGTGGCTGGTAGCCAGACGATACCTGTGTCATGATATAGTTGGAAGGGAATGACGTTTGACGATGCTGATTCAATTCTAGTAGTCTATAGTAGGTACTCGCCTATCCAAGCGATCTAAGCAAAAGGACCGTATACAAATACGTCTACTTCTGCCTTCCGCGTCCCCGTTCCTCTCCGTCACTCGCATCGCCATCCTTGAAAGGATCGTCGCCGATTTCCACGGCATCACCCGTCTCGGGTGGTTCATCTCTGTATTCATCGTCCCATGTCGTCCGGAGACTGATGTCGTCATCTTCCTCGCGTAATCGTTCGGCAGCTTCCAGCGCTCCCGGATCATCCGCGTATTCGTGTTCAAGGTCCTCGATACTCATGCGACGGATACCCGCACGCTCCTCAGCTTCTAGCTGCGCAGCGCGGGCCTTGGTCTTGCGGTATACAAGCCAGCCTGTGGTAACGCCGGCAACGAGACCAATGAAGATGGAAACGTAGGATAGAGCTTTTGTGCTGGGGTCCATCTTGCCTCCACTTTCGGCAATCTTCTCGAGTTGACTTCCGATGAATATGTGAAGCATCAGCTTCGGTGATACTATGGCTGTGGCTAGAGCGTAGGATGCCCAGTGTACGGTGGGGAAGGTTGCGACGGCACCGTTGGAGATGGAGTATGGTAGCGGACATAGTCGGTACATGACGAGGAGTTTGAGGCCGTCGTGTTTGAGGGTGAGGGAGAGGGCAGCGAAGCGCGTGTCATTGGCTATGAGTCGGTGGACCATAGATTTGAGGAGGGTGCGCGAGAGGAGGAAGGATGCTGTGCTGCCGGCGACGGTTGCTGTCGCGGCTATGAACCAACTGGTCTAATGTTAGATTGCATGTTGTGAATGACGTGTGAAGCATACCCGTTCGGAAAGCCATAGACAAATCCGGCTATGGTGAGTAGACTCGAATAACCAATCAATGGCGGAAATGATACGATGAAGATCAAGACCCAGAGGATCAACCATCCGGCCGTCACGTCTCTCCATTTCTTCGCGACGGGTAACAGGGCCCCGAATATGCGCTCGTTGTACACCAGGAACAGTATGCCGCCCACTGCCAGCACCAAGTTCCCTACGAAGAACAGCACTTTCTGCAGGGGGGAAAGTTTGTTATATTGATCGAGGACTCGTCGCGAGAGTGTATCGTACTTGTCCATGGCGCGCTGCCGCCATGAGCTCTGTTGACTGTGGTGCGATGCGTTGCGCCGGAAGGTAGATGATTGCGGACGTCGGCTCCATATTGGCGTCTGGCCTGTTTCCTCGTCGTCTAAAGGAAGCGCAAGAGCGCGGACATCATAGTCGCTCGCTGGCATGTTGATGGATGCCTCTATACAACACGGGGAGGTGCGCCTAACGGAGTGGCGCGGAAGTATGCGGAGGTAAGAGGATGTGAATGCGGTAGGGAAGTGAATAGAAAGGTAATGGGAGATGCTAGCTGATACAACTGGAGACGGACATTCCGCGTGGTGGTAGTGGAGCGTCGGAGGCAGCCTTGGTGTGAGATGCTAATGCTAGTGTGGTGTGGGCGCTGTTGGAGAGCTCTGGGTTTCATCGTCATCCGGGCGGACGAACGCGGTGCATCCGCCATGGATCCGCCCTGCATTAGGCGATTAGATCAGATCGGCCCCGAGTTGAAAAGCAGTCTTGCTCGGCATGCGCGTGGGACAACTATAATTCGATGATTGCAAGTCAACCTAGCAAAAAAACTGAACACCCTGGAGCCTACGTTGACGTTAGGTTACCCACTTTGCAGGTTTTTAGTCGTGATGTAGTCCGCAGACCTGTTCAAGTTGTTTCGTGTATGAGATGATTGCCGCATTGTATGCGCATATACTGTGTGTGACATGTGCTCTGGTCATGTTAGACAGCTCCGAGCAACGTACAACGTACTGCATCCATGGATGTTTCCGCGGACCCACACGACGCAAAGCACGTGATTACTCAGCCTCTCGCAGTCTGTGGCGCCCATAGCCCTATTCGATACTTGAGGCATATGTTGCAGCTTGTTTTTCCGCCGACGAATGCCATCGCAGCACTTCTTATCCAGCCCCAGTCGTCATCCTTGCTCAGCTGAGACTCACACGCACACGCACCGCATCACCACCCGCTCGAGGCTCCAGGGCCATGTAGGGCAGACCGGGAGCAAGTGCTGGAGATTACCGTTCCCGCTGTATGGTCGACGTTGCTGCACGGTGCAAGCATCCCCCACCCCTACGTAGTTGAGCCTAGTCCCTTGAGCTTCATTCGCGCTCGAGATCGCCCCAGGCATTCCATCACTCTGCCCGTTTTGGCGCACTTGGTGTGTCCTGCAGAAGAAGGCTGCGGGACTGGTTATTGCCCTTCGTTGCAGCTTCATTCCTCCTGTGACGCGCCGGTCGCTCCTCTGCCATTACCCGCAGTACTTGTAATCACCCCCGACGGCCTCCTGTCTCGACCTGGACCCCGACCTCTGACCTCTGACCTCACCCGTCCTGCGCGCCACACCCGAACACCCATCGCCCAGTATCCTTTGCCCGCTTGGAAGTAATCGCCATGGTCGCCGACGACTTGTACGAGAAGGCGCTTCCTGTGCTGCAGGACGAGGCCCTGGATGAGGAGGACAAGACGGACAAGCTCGAGGAGCTGATGCGCAAGGAGACCAACCTCACGGGCAAATCACTCGAGAACATTGTCCTAGACTGCCTCTGGCGCTATCGCGACGCCGGCAGCTCTTCCAGCTCTCCTCCCAGCCGCCATACCATCATCCGCCGGCCCTCGCCAGCTCCCTGGCAGGCCAATCGCGCCCCTACTCCCGTCAACGCCTCGCCGCGCATGGTACACCCGCCGCCGGGCTTCCCCATGCCACCTGGATTCGCGCGCACAAAGTCGTCCACCGCGTCCCCCTTTACTTCCCCGCGACCCTCGCCTCGCCTTGCTTTTTCCACACCGCATATCCCCCACAGCCCCAGCCTGAGCGCATACCAGTTCAGCGAATGCGCAAGTCCCAACACCGAGTCGTACGGCGACCTCGATGGCCACTCCGTCGACTGGCTAGTCAACGATGACGCCGCGAGCACTGAGTCGTCTCTCCTCGGCGATGGCACGCTCAACGGTGCCGCGGCCGAATGGGTCCAGCCCCAGACCATGGACATGGGCCCATACGACATGCTGCGCTCGATCCTCAGGGACGACCGATCGGACGAGGAGCTGGAGAAGGTCTTGGAGGCCAATGGCTACGACCTCAGTGCCGCTCTCCTCGCACTCATGGGACAGCAACTGGACGTACAACAACTCCCTACCACGCCCTCCGAGCACCCAGGATACGTCATCGGGAAGTCTATGAGCCCAGCATTCAGGCCTAGTACACCCGTGGGCCAGCAAAAGAGCAACATCGTGTGCAAGTACTTTCTGTCAACTGGCCATTGCGCCCGAGCAGACTGCAGATTCAGCCATGACACCAGCAAGACGTTGTGCAAGTAGGTATATATACAGCTCTCTAGATAGTCCAGGCTAACACCCAACACAGATACTTTCTAAATGGAAACTGTCTAGCTGGCGATACATGCCTCTTCTCACATGACCCCTCTGCGCTCATGGCTCGTATGGCTGTGTCGGACGTCCAAACTCCACCAATACCCAACTTCCAGATGTCCGATTATGAGTTCCCCACACTCCACTACAACGGCTCTCCCCTAGGCACACCGTCGATAACATCAGCCGCGACCTCTTTGGAACAGCTCTACGGCCTGACAGGTGGTGGCCCCACACGCCCTCCACCAGGACTTAGTCCTTTTGCAAACTTCACTCCTGGAGGCGGTAGTCGCCCGCAGTCTAGAACCGGCAGTCGCCAGACTTCGCGTGCCACCACACCTTCGGTGCTCGCAGTTGACGACAACGACGCTTTCCCTAGTCTGGGTTCCGCTGCTGCTGCTAAGACTGGAAAGCGTCACCACGGCAAGCGAGGTGGACATGGCCATCACAAAGATGCTCCAGGACCTAACAATCTTGCAGATGTCGTTCGCATGTCGCCTGTTCCGGCTCCTGCCACTCCAGCTCGCAAGGGATTGAGACCGACTAAGAGCTTCACAGGATCTCGCGAGAACAGTGTGGCTGCCCAGGCGATACCCGCTCCTCAGCACATCCCATGGCTCGAGACTGGTGAGAAGGGCAATCAGGCATATCTCAAAGCTCGCGCCGAGGCTTTCAAGCATGGCAGTCTGCGCAACAAGTTTTTGCAGAGGTAAGCGGCATGCCTCGTCCTACGACATTCCACCGCTAACATACCACAGCGCTGCTCAAGCTTGGAATCGCAGCGATTCGCGCGCGGCTAAAGCTCTTAGTCTTAGGGGGCAGAGTGAGAACAACCTGATGCGTGAAGCTCACCGTGAAGCTGCTCGTATCCTTTACGAAGATCGCAACAAGGACAGTGATGGCTTGAGAGAGCTGTATGTTGATCTTCACGGTACGTCGATATAGGGTGTATGCATATACCAAGACTAACATCATCTAGGTCTGCATCCAGATGAGTCGGTTTCGTATCTCGAAGGCATCCTTCTAAAGCACAGCTCTTCTTCGCGTCCAGTCTACGCAATTACAGGAACAGGTCACCACTCCAAGAACGGCAAGGACAAAGTTGGCAAGGCTATTCGCGGCTTCCTCAACGAATGGCGCTATGCCTTCCGCGAATTCTCTGTTCCTGGTGACCGCAACAACGTAGGTGGCATTCTTGGTATCGACCCGAGTAGCTACGACAAGAGTGTGGCGGAGCGGCCAAAGGAATCTGAATCGGATGGAGATAGCGCAAAGAAAGACACGAAGATTCGCATCATGAAGAGAGATGATGTAATAGATGCGCCGAAAGGACCGAAGCGTACTGCTTGATCTGATTGAGTGGATGTGGGGTGTGCCCAGTAGGTAGCATGAAATAAGAAAGAGTTTACTTCACTACTTATTCTTTGATCTCGTCTTCGTTAAGGCGTTGCGGTAAATGTGTTACCGCACTACGTTCAAGAGGAATATTGGCAGGTGCGCTACAGTCTACATTGGTATCAGAACGAAACTCAGGAAACTACTACCTTAATGCAGACTTCCAGGTTATTTACTTCTATTAACATCTATAGGTGGTCTCCAATCTGTCCCTTGGATGGGGTGGCGGAGATGTGCCAGCTCGGTGAAGCTGCTTGACTGAGGAAGCCACACCCAGCCTCGTGCCTGCTTCTCTCGTCTGGACCCACCATCGCGTCGCGAATATCGCCTCTCATCTTACGGCGTACACAGCCAATCATTCTCGTCACCTCTCATGTAGCGGTCAGCGTTTTCTACCTGGCCTCACTGGCAACGTCCCTACCCTCATCACCACATCGTACTAGCTAACGCATTGTCGTCACTGATTCGCATCCCCTCGCAATGGGTCCCAGAAGACCTAGTTCGGCGACAGATGTCGACTCACGTATGCCGTTCGCATCGGCGGAGGCACTGCTATGGGGGCCAGAGATGAAACAACAGCACGCCCACCTGCTCACGGAGATGCGAACACTTCAGAAGCACCATGACGAATACGAAGCCCGCATCAGATCTACCGAACACGTTGCAGAGGCTGCCGAAGCTGCTACGTCGAGGGTCCGACACTTGGAGCAACAACTCGCAGCGATCGAAGCCGAAGATGACGACAAGGCTTTCGAGAAGTGGGCAGCAGGCGAGATGACGCGCCTGGGCATATTCGTCGACACGAACAAGCACGTCAGGCAGAAGCAGATCGAGCTGGACAATGTTGTGTCTCATGCTGTGGACGATCTCGACAAGCTCAAACAGGTCCCCAGGGAACTGAAAGGTATTCTGCGACGTCTTGATCTTCTCGAGACTGGTCGTAATCAAGACGCGCGTCGGATCGAGAGTCTAGAAGAAGAAGTCACCCGGCTCCAATCTACGCGACGTGATCCCAAGTCCAAGTCCAAGTCCAACACCGCTGGCCCACAGACCGTTTCTAAGCCTCAACATGGCATGCTGAGATCCATGACACCGTCTCAATTACTTAACGCCGGAACTTCAGAAGTAACAAGTGACACGGACGATGAAGACCTGATACTCATGCCTGGGTTTGCACGTGAAGAGATTCAAGTACCCCGGAGTCCAGAGATGAGAGAAAGGTAAGAGCGGTCTTCGGAACGACCTTTTGTAACGCTAACGACTATTGCAGGGGACCAGTCGATATGTCTACTTCAGCAGTGCCTTCAGGTCATCCAATGAAGTCAGCAAGACAGAGACTGATGCAGAGACCTTCGATCCACAACTCTATGTTGCCACATCTGGCAGAGGAACAGAGACAAATCCGAACACCTGCTCCAAAATCGAGCCAGTCAGTATATGCTGCTCCAGTTGCGACACAGCTGGTCCATCACAACCGCCCGACTTATCCTTCGCCCCCGGCTCCGGTCCCAGCCCCAGCCCCAGTGCCGGTTCCTACGCGAAAGCCTCGCCCACGTGCCAGAGTCGCCCCACCTCCAACACAGCTGACGGACAAGACCATCACACGGAAGCGAAAACAGCCTACAAAGGAGCCCCACACTCAAAGGCTGACTCGCGCTCAAGCCAAGAAGATTCAAGAACAAGATGCTGAAGAGCGAAAGCCGCACGTAACCGATAACGAATCACTCCTCCCGCCAACACAGTTGGTCGAGCCAGCTCTCTCATCGCGCAAGAAGCAAAAGACTGCCCATGATCAAGGATCAGACAGTATCAAGGCCAGATCCAGCACAGCGATGCGTCCCACTGGCAGAGCTCCAGCAACCGCAAAGCGCAATGCTGCTGCAAATCAAAGCAAAACCACGGCGATTGAACCCACTCAGCTGGTTACGAGGAGTCCTGCCAAGTCGAACATACCTGAAGCCACCACTTCACCTACCGACAGAAGATATGCCTCACCATCTGAATTTGCTATGAGTGTTACAAACGAACAGGAGCCAAAGTCACTCATTGTTATTCTACGCAGCCCGCAGAAAGCGACAAGGATTGAGCGTAGTGAGAGCGATGATACCAAAACCACTGTGGCAGACAGAGCTAAGAAGTCACCTCGCAAAGCTGCTCTGACGCCACTGTCTCGCTCTAAGGCCATCCCTAAGCCTTCGAGCACACGCATTCCGGGCGGTCGGAGCAAGCCAGCTGTTTCGGCAACCGCTAGAATTTTAGCAACCATGGGAAGGAAACCTCGTTGGTTGTCTCAATTAGAGGACTGACCCTATGTCTCGCTGAACTCGTACAAGCCCTCGCGGTCCGCAACTGGCACCTCCAAATTTGCCTCTTCGATATCTTTTCCATCTACCTTCAGCCCTGCACGCATAACGTCGCCCGTCTTCACTGGGCCTACACCCTTCGGGGTTCCCGTAAGTACGATGTCGCCCTTCTCCAGTGTCATGACCCTGCTAATATCGCTCAGCTGTCTTGGGATTCGGAAAAGCATCAGCTCAGTGTTGTCAGACTGCTTCATTTCGTTGTTGACTGAGAGCCAAAGGTGTGCTTTCTGTGGGTCTGGGATTCTGTTTTTCGCGATGAAATTGCTGATGGGCATGAACGTGTCGAAGCCTTTTGCGATAGACCATGGGAGTCCTTTTCTTTTCGCCTCGTCCTGCACGTTACGAGCTGTCATGTCGATAGCGAGGATGTAGCCTGGGTCGTGAATGTTAGTCGGATGGATCTCGATATACTGTTATATTTGGCTGGATGTATGGCGTTCTAAATACCTTCGATAGCATCCATAGCACCCTTAGTATCTTCAGGATGCAAATCCCGCAATGTCTTTCCCATGATGAGACCAAGCTCAACTTCATAGTGCATGTTTACACCACGTGGGCGTAGGACTGGGCCAGCGCCTGGCAGCAAGATAGACGACGGTGGCTTCAGAAAGAAGAAGGGCTGCTTAGGCGTAGCACTGGACAGCTCCTTGATGTGGTCTGCATAGTTTCTGCCTATGCACATGACCTGTCACACGTTAGATTGCACGAAGAGCTTCTTTGCCAAATGTCTTCCTTCTAAGGTTCCCAAGCTCAACCTTCATAACACGTATGCCAGAGAGATGGCACATGTCTTCACATATGATAACACGTGAGTAACTTTACAACTGCTACCTCACCAGCACACGCCTCCCAGCTCTTTCTCTTTTCCTAAGCCGTTCACGACGCGAACATGACACGAAATCACGTACCTTGCGGCAATTTGCCCTGATAGCCTGGATACTCGCCATAACGATAACCAACGAACGTATTCAAGACAATGACCCAATATCACGCAGAGGTGTTTGAAAGCAAAGGTCGCTCACCGTCTTCGGCAAAGTACTTAGCCGGCAATTGACGGGAGTTTTGATCTGGGCCCCTGCCCGCCACGGGGACTTGGGAACCGAGATGTGGGGTGAACGTCAGAGCTTCCAGGCCACATGCATCCCACTTGCGCTCGCATCGCAACCAAACTATCAGAACCAGCACACGCTGCATTACACATCTGTTACCAAACACACCGCATCAAGCTTCCCGTCAGCAACAGCAGATATGGCGCAAACCCAAGGAAACACAATGCAACTCGCGGAAATACTATCCGACCTCGTCTCCCTGCGCGTCTGTGTACGTTGCCCTCCCTACACCAACTCACCTGTACACTTTCTAACACAAAATCGACTGTAGGACCCCGCCGCAGCCCTCGCCCTCGTATCCGCGCACTCGAACACCTCTGCCTCCACATCACCCCCATCTTCTCACGATACCGCCGCAAAGACACCAATAACAGACCCCACGTCGACAACAACGGTGGACGAGGAGCAAGACCCAGAGCTGAAGCGCGCAAAAGACCTGCTGAAGTTCCACTACGAGGTCAAGGAGGCGCATAAGAGGGGCGAGTTGGGTAGGGGCCTGGAGGAAGCGAGGAGTTTGGTTAGGAAGGCTGTTGGGGGGTGAAGGGCGTTGGGGTTGAGGATGAGATTACAATATTATAAGTGCAAGCATAGAGAAGTGCTGGGAGAAGGCCAACGCGAGAAGAGGGGACTTGGCGGCGAAGGTTAGGAGCGAGCCCTATCTGGGGTCAGGGTCGATAGCAGAGCTTATGCGCTGGGTATTGAGGAGACGGAATGGATGGGAACGCCAATACGGAGGAAGACATTGTGGTATCTACATACACGTCGCTGCATGTCAGTAGTAACTTCTTGCGCGGAGTTGCAGTATACAAGAAAGAATCTGAACAAGAGACACCAGGTGCATCTCTTGTACTGCGGTCTACATCGATAGATAGGAGGACTTTGTTGAGGGCTCCAGGGAATCGTAGTCGTCTGGGCTACATTTGTATCAACACAGCAACCCTATTACGCGTGTTGTAGTAGGTAAAGAAGAGCGTGCTACGATGAGTTTGATCTTTATCATGTACGGTATGAAGCAGAGAAGAGGCGTTACACGTAAACGAAGACAAAGGTAATGATGAAATTGAGCTACGAGTAGCATCTACATAGGGAGAGGTAGTCAAAGCCAGGTAGAGGGAATTCTTAGGGAGACTTGAAGTTCGCCACCACGATCCAAATACCAATCTTCCAATTCACTTCAAGATCCCGCAGCCGCGAGCATGGCATCGGCAATGGCCTTGACATCCTCACCAGCCTTCTTCTTTTGGCGAAGAAGCACCATTATAGGGACGGACTCGGGCGGTGCGCGCATTGCTGCGAGAAGCTTGACTTTGTCGCGTTTGCGGGTTTTGCTGGTGGATGTTAGTATGAAAGTAAGGGTAGTGTAGTATAGCGACATCGGAGGAAAAGCTAGTGTACTCACGTGGCAGTAGTGGCTACGGAAGGGGCTGGTGCTTCTGTTTCAGCCACAGACGGTGCCGGTTCGGGCGCTGGCGCTTCTGGAGGCTGAGGAGGCAGGTCTTCGGTCTCTGCGGCAGTGTATGCAGGTGCTGCTTCCGGTTCGGGTGCTGCTTCCGCTGGTGCTTCTGGCTCTACTGCCCTAGACACTGGTGCGACCTCAGGTTCAGCAGCCGGTGCTGCCTCGGGCTCCTCCGCGACAGGTGGTGCAGGTGGAGGTTCCGTTGGTGCATCTGGAACTGGTTCAGATGGTGCTTCCGGTTCGGCTGCACTCTCGACAGGCGCGGGCGTAGGTTCAGGCTCGGCAGCTGGTGGTGGAGGCTCTACAGGTTCTGTCTCAACGGGCTCTGTAGCAGGCACCTGCAACGTTGGCTCTGCTTCCGGCTCAGGTTCTGTTGATGTAGCCTCCTCGGGTGTTTCAACTTTGGGCTCTGCAGCTGGTGGCTCTGTTGTCGGCTCCTCGGGGACAGGTTCAGGTGCAGGATCTACCGAACGCTGAACTGGAGCTGGAGCAGCTTCGGGCTCTTCAGCTGGAGGCTGTGCTGCTGGCTCTTCTGGCGCGGCGTCGGGTGTTGGTTCAGCGGCAGGTTCAGACTGCTTTTCTTCAGGGGGCTCCTCTACAGGCTCGGGAGGTTCGGTTGCAGCTTCAGGCTCTTCAGCTGGTGGCTCTGCTGCTGGTTCTTCGGGGGCAGCTTCAGGTTCTGTATCCGGCTCAGGTGCAGGATCTGCGGGAGGTTGATCCGGGGTAGGCGCAGCTTCAGGCGCAGCTTCAGGCTCAGCTGCAGGCTCTTCTGGGGTAGCTTTAGGTGCCTCTTCAGCAGGTCCATCGGTCTGAGCTTCACCAGGGCCCTCCTCTGGTGGATTGGGAGGAGGGTTGAAATCAAGTTCCGGCGGTTCTGGCTCATCATCTGGCTCAGGTGCAGCTGTATCGGTGTCTTCAGGGTATGGGTTAGGAGGCGGTTCGATAGGCAGTGGTGGTACGGGCCTGCCATGATGTCCGGGCTTCGCAGGCTTGTGAGGACGTTTTGGCTTGGTATGCTTCTCGGGTTGCTCCACAAGAGGCACGTCCGAAGCCGCAGCTTGGCCCGCCATGACAAGTGCGGATGGAATTAATGATAGACGAGAGATGCTAAGGAGGAGCTATGAGAAGCAATTCGAGAGGTGAGATTGGACGCGGGAGAAAATGGTATGCTGGCCCAGGTAAGTGGATGGTTGTGGCCACATCCTATTTGATCGAGATAGCTTAGCTCTGGAACAGAAAGAGAAGCCTTGACCCAAACATATTGATTGAGTGACGGTAGGAAGAGATGCGTAAATACAGCATGTACGCGTTCATCCTTTCCCAACTTGAACTGCTGAGTTTATGAGCGCAGCGACGTTGGGGGAGAAGCCGAGCTGGATATGCCGCGCGAGGTAGGAAGGTAGGGGTGCGTTATCATGGTTATCGTTGCTGCTGCTAGAGGAAGAGGAGGGGCCGTTCCTGCTGCTGGGATGCCGTGGACTGCTGGAGGAGGGGGAGATGCCGAGGAGGCTGCTTCTGGGGAGACTCGCGGCCTTGGGGATATTGCTCGAAGGTGAGTACAGTAGACTCATGGCTACAATAGCAAGGCCCTGTATTTCGAGTGTACTACCTTGTTCAAGGAAAAATCTAAACACTGTAGAGCCTACATCAAGATAAAAACATGCAAAGTAGGTGACCCAACGTTAATGTAGGCTCTAGACCTGTTCGATTTTTTCCTTGTATGAGATGGTACGCTCGCAGCAATGCAGTATTTGCCGCGAATCGCGGTCTGCAGTGTCTGAGTTCAAGATAAGATGTGGCAGTGAAAGCGTGAGGGTTGGGACGGGTGACGACAGCGTTAGCGTCGGTCGTACCTGCATGAACGACGTAATTCCCGGAGGTTGCCGCCAAGCCCGCAGATGGGCCCGCCCGAGCTCCAGCTTTCACTGTCGCGACCTCGTCTTCCCGCACACGCGTCACCCCATTACTCTTGCAACTGCATACTATCTCAAGTCCTCAAAATGGCGCTTAGCATCGATCAGAAGCGCCTCAAGGCGACAAAGTTCCCTCCCGAGTTTGACAAGAAGGTCGACATCGAGAAAGTCAACATCGACCTGATGAAGAAGTGGATTGCTAACAGGATCACCACTATCCTCGGTGACGAAGACGACATTGTGGTCGAGACGTGCTACAATCTCATTGAGCAGAATCAATTTGTCAGTAACCCTCCAGTTGACACAACGGAATGTTTGCTGACGGACGCAGCCCAAAATCAAGGAAATCCAGATTCAGCTCACGGGCTTCCTCAACAAGGAGACCGCACCTTTCTGCAAAGAGTTATGGGATCTCATGCTGAGCGCGCAGGATAGTCCTATGGGCGTGCCCCGAGAATTGCTCGAAGCCAAGAAGGCCGAATTGCAACAGGAGCAGGTAAGTTGGGTCGGAGGCTTGCTCATTTACCATCGCTGACAACCCATAGCTTTCCAAAGCCGCTGCCGATGCTCGTCGTGCCGAAGAACAAGCGCAGAACGCTATGATCGACTCGTTCCGTCAGAGCGAGCGTCCGGAACGACCCGAGCGTGGCCCTGAACGTGGCCGTGGCGGAGGAGGAGGACGATACCGTGGTAGTGATCGTAGGGGACGTGGAAGGGACTTTGACAGAGGACTTCCGCGTCGCGATCGCGACTCAAGATCACCACCGTATGTCCTTCGCATTTACACTGAAGATCAAGACTGCTGACATGTGACAGGAGACGAAGACCCTCCCCACCGAATCGCGAGCGCGATGTCTACATACCTGGAGGAGGTCGTGGTCGTGGACGTGGAGGCCGTCGCGACAGATCTCGCGAGCGTCGTCGCTCACCCTCGGGCAGTCGTTCTGCATCTCCACCAGCTCGTCGTACACGTCGCTCACCATCGTCAGAACCCTCTCGATCTCCACCACCACGACGTCGACCGCGGCGTTCACCGTCAGCTGACCGTTCAAGATCTCCTCCTCGTCGTGCGCGTCGTCGGTCTCCTTCCCGTAGCAAGTCTCCACCTGCAAGACGAAGGAGAGACCGGTCTCGAAGCCGGGACAGCAGGAGGCCACCCAGGCCCATTTCGCGATCTAGTTCCCCACCAGTCAGAAACAAGTCGAGCTCACCAGCACCCAGGCTGCGATCACGTTCACGTTCACGAACTCCTCCCCGCCGTCGGCGTCGCTCCCCATCGAGCTCTATGTCTATAAGCCCTGCACGACCGCGGCGGCGCAGACGTTCTACTTCATCTGGGGCTGATTCAAACGGCTCTCGTGCCGACATCAAGAAGCGTAAACGATCCGTTAGCTCTAGCAGGTCACGTTCTCGCAGCAAAACTGGTAGGGCTAGACGTCGTGTCACTCGCTCACCCACAGGATCGCCCG